TAATCTTCTCTAATCAATCAGTTAGGGATTCAAATATCATTCCTTTGGCTACACTACGTTGGCAGGTTTGCAGGCCAGATCTAGTTATGCCACAATAATCAAGCATCAAGCGTGCCAATGTCCTGGACTACTCAATAATCATGTCAAGAGTCTCTGATAGGAGACTCTGAGCAGTATGGATCTCCATATCATCAGCTCTCTGAACGAGAATAATCTGCTAATGTGCTGGGGCTTACCTGTTGTTTGGCACTGAACCAATGAGAGGAGGTTGCTCCTGCATTTCCTTTCTCCCCTCCCAGCTGTGTCTTATAAACTGCTGTCCCTTTAACCACAGGTTGTCCACGGAAACGAAAACTCTCCTCCCAGGAGATTATGATCCTTCCAACTGCACACCAGAGACTCAGGGCTGCAACAGCATAGATACCACCAAAAGGAGAGAAGGAAGGAATTGATCTTTTGGTAGATGTGGTCAAGTCTTTGTAAGGAGCTGAAGGCCTTTCTGGATCCAAAATACCTTTTTTTTGGTAAGCTAAATGCATGTGGTGATGTGGGGGATGAAAAGTTAAGAAAGTGTATGTAAATCTGTAGCATGGCAGTAAGAAAAGAGGCACATTGTCTTGCCATAATTGGGTAACTGTAGTCCCAATCCCAGATAACTGTTGCTTTGACTGAAAAAGACTGTTCTTTTAAATTTATGAAGGTTGGCAGAAATATAGCAAAAATCTGGGACAGAATTTTCTTGCATTGGCCGTAGAGACAACAAAGAGAGGCCTGGAATTTCCGCTGCTTGCTAGATGAACGGTCTTTGGCAAATTACCTATCAGAGCAAGAGTTCCTTTATATGTAAAATAATAAATCATGTATATGTAAAATAAAATACCTGACTCTTAGGACTGATAGAGAATTAAACAAGATATTACACAGAAATACTTAACATGAGCGTATACCAATTGCTCGATAAATTTTTTCGCTGTGAAGGTTTCCCTTAACGCTCTGGAAACCATTTAGACTTTAAAAATCACTTAGTTCAACTCGCTGACTTTTACAGATATTTTATAGAGATAGCCTGTTAAACATATTTATACACAAATTTCTACAAAGATAATGTTTTGAGCTAAAATAATCAGTGACCCTTAGATTTAATCATGGAGTCATATAAACCTCCCAGAGGAACCCAAATCAGGGAATGGCTCTGTTCAAAGCAAAATGGTGGCCCTTCAAAGTCCTGCGCTCTCCTAGAAGGTCTACCTGCACCAAATGCATTCTGAAAATCAAAGGCAGGCTAAAGGGACAGAAAAGAAGGAGTGCTACTGGGAAAAACTTTTTTTTTTAAGTTTAACTGTAAAATCCTACTTGATATCTTGATTTGTACTTTATTGCTAATTGATCAGGTTTGCATATGCAAGATATATTAGATCTATTTTACTCTGTGCCCACAAACAAAAAATGCTAAAATGCATTTTCAGATCAGTTCTGTTTGCAATATGCAGTTTTAGATTTGTTGGTATGTTCATTTGAAGATTTTTTCAGATTTTAAAAGTTTATCCATGGAAGTACAGGAAATAAGAACAATTTATGACAAATTGTTTTTCAGGTTGGAGGAAGAGATCTGCATTAAAAAGTATCCACTAAATTCTCTGACCTAACCTCATTAGGAAGCAAGAATGGCCCTGGCACCCCATGTCTTGGAATTCTTTCCAGATCACTGTTAATCTAAAACCAAAAACATTCAAAATGGTGGAAGTGAGGGCTGCAATGCTTCAGAATGCTGGATGCTGAAGCCAGCTCCAAGAGCAGGGAGCAGAGTGGCCAGGCTTTGAAAGAGGCAGAAATGAGAAAAATATAAGTGGCTCCAATCCATATTTAATATGAATGTAACATTTATTTCTATTATAATCAATATTAATATAAATATAGTATTTAAAAATCCTAGTTTTTTGGTATGTCAAGCAGCTAAAACCTACTGTCAACAGTTTTGAGGTTTAATTTTAATATACAGCATTTATTGAGTCCTAGCTGCATTTTATAAGTGATTGTGTCAAGAATTCACTCAAACCGCACAACTAGCCAGTGAAGAAGTTATTATCATTCCACTGAGTAGATGGAAATGAGATTCGGAGAAGTCAAGCAACTTGGGGAAGGTCATCCAGAGAAACAAGTGTGGGTGCAAGTATATGCGTGTGTAAATGTGAGTATGTGTGTTTGCAAGTGTGTGTTTTAGAAGAGGTCTCACTTTTGGCAGAAAAATGAGCATGGCCTCATTCTGCTGCTCCTTTCTCCAGTTTTCCTCTCTTTTCTACCTTGACATAACAGAGAGTTTAAATACCAACAGTATTGCCAGAAATAATTCTTTCTGGGCTACAGTAAATTGTGTTGGCACCAAATGTACCTCTCACTTGTCTGATGTCACTGAGTAGTAAAGAGGGCTTGGTAACAACAATGAAGGGAGGGGACATCTTGCATCCTTTGTTCTTTGTTTATTTATTATCGCTGCAGACCCAGGCACACTTTGCACCTGCAGGTTTTTTCACTTCATGCAGATCAACTACACAGGACTAAAGGGCAAAAGGGTGAGAGTGTTCACCATCAACAGGAAAGGTTTCCTGTTGATGTACAGGAAAGTACAGGCAGTATGAAGGAAACTGAACAGCAGAAAGACTGAGTAGGCAAGCTCTGAAGTCAGCCTGTCAATGTTCAAATCTTGTCTCTGCCACCATGAGCTGGATGACCTTGGGCAAATTCTTAAGTCTACATGAGCCTCAGGGTCTTCATCTGCAAAATGGAGATAATAGTAGCACCAGCCTCACAAGCTTGTCACATTTGAATAATAAAAGACATCAGGAGTGCCAAGGGCCTGGCTTACCTTAAGAAATAATAAACACTAGCTTTTATTCTCTATGAGCCATGTTTAGTATGAAGGATGTGATACACAGCCTCTACCACAACTACTAGATAAACCAGGGAGACAGGGCATATATATTAAAAATGATAGAGGTAGGTATTTGACATAGCATTCAAGATACCAGCATCTCATTCAGGAGTGCCCAGGTTTGAGACCTGCCTCCAGCACCTGACTCCAGCTTCCCGCTAATGTAGATCCTGGGAGGCAGCGACAATAGCTCAGGTAATTGGGGTCACCCATGTGGAAGATCTTGATCGAGTTTCTGGCTCTCAGCTTTGGCTTGGCCCAGTCTGGCCACTGCAGGCATTTAGGGAGTTATTCAGCAGATGAAATATCTATGTGTTACTATGCCCCTTAAATTAATTAATTAATTAAAATCCAGAAAAGAATGGTAATTAATAAAACCAGGCAGACATGTGTTACATGAGTAGTATAAATGGATGTTATGGAATTTTTTTTTTACAGATAGAGTTAGACAGAGAGAGAGAGAGAGAGAGAGAGAGAGAGAGAAAGGTCTTCCTTCCATTGGTTCACCCCCCAAATGGCCGCCACAGCTCAACTACGCCGATCCGAAGCCAGGAGCCAGGTCCCCCTTCCTGGTCTCCCACACGGGTGCAGGCGCCCAAGCACTTGGGCCATCCTCCACTGCCCTCCCGGACCACAGCAGAGAGTGGGACTGGAAGAGGAGCAACCCGGACTAGAACCCAGCACCCATATGGGATACCAGCGCCTCAGGCACAGGATTAACCAAGTGAGCCATGGAGCTGGCCCCATGGAAGTTTTTTAAAAAAGAAGTAATCACAGAACTAAAAGAAAGAAATTAGATTACAATGGAGTCCAGAAATAGCAGGTAGCTTTCCCAATGCCACAAAGATAGTTTTGAAACAGCTGAGTAAAACCCAGGTCTCCTAATTCATACTGTAGTATTGTTTCATGAAACCATGTCACAGAAGAAGTACTAATAAAAATAATCTCAACAATAGCTGTAGTGAACACTTTGAAGGCATATTTTTTTTTTTTTACAGATTAGGCATTTTAAACTCATTGTATTATTTGTCTTTATTTTCAATATGTATCTTAAAATTCACATATAGTTACTGTGTATATTTATGGGGTACGTGGTTTATCTCATTAAATCCTCACAAAAACCCTAGGAGGGAGGTACCATATATTCTGCATTTTGTAGATGATTGAGGAATAGGAAGATAAGTAATTTACCTAAGGTCTTACAGCCAGAAAGTCTCTTTGCCAGGACATAAATCAAGGTTTCTAAGCGATAATTATGGAAGATTGACGGGGAAGGAGAGAAGGGCAGCCAAACGCAAGGGGAATGGCAGGCCTGATCTTAGTGGTGGAAGTAGATGCTCATGAACAGTGAGTGGGCTGCTGTTACTGCAAGAGGAAATTCCTACAGAAGATTCGGCAGATACACTTGGAACAGAGTGTGAAGCAGACAGGAGGCCCTGAACGCCAATCCAGGCAGCAAATATTCCATTTGTCTATTGTTCAGTTGGGGGGAAGGTGGGAACAAGAGACAGGAGCTTGACATTTCTACAGCTGTAGTGTTTTTAAAAAACTAATTCAGGAGTCGGTGCTGTGGCATAGCAGGTAAAGCCATTGCCTGGGAGTCCAGCATCCCATATGGCCACCAGTTCAGGTCCCAGCTGTTCCACTTCCGATCCAGCTCCCTGCTAATATGCCTGGAAAGCAGCAGAGGATAGCCCAAGTCCTTGGGCCTCTGCACTCACGTGGGAGCCGGGAAGAAGCTCCTGGCTTTGGATTGGCCCAGCTCTGGCTGTTGTGGCCATTTGGGGAGTGAACCAGTGGAAGGAAGATCTCTCACTCTGTCTCTCCTTCTCTCTCTGTAACTCTGCCTTTCAAATAAATAAATATTAAAAAAAAAAAGACTAATCCAGTCACAGCCAAAATCAAATGGCAGAGTCCAGTGGCAGAGATTAATTAGTGGCTAACAGCAACAGCTCAAAAAAAAGGATGGGGTATTTTGGGGGTGTTCTTCAACTTGCCAGGGGCATGCAGCCACAGGTCTACTCCCCAATCTCTGAAGGACACTTTCCATTCATCTCTCTCCACAGGTGGTGGTACTTCCACACCATATTGGTAACCAGTGTCCTCTGGGAATCATGAAGACTTGGTTGACGTTCAGATTCATCTGGCTTGCCAAGCCATCTGGCCGGCACTTTCACAGAGATCATCAGCGTTGGGCATCTCTGACACTTGCTGACTTTGAAGCCATAAATCGCTGTGACAGGTCGTTGCCTAAGAACTTTAACTTTGCTGGGGATGTGCTGGACCAGTGGTCCCAAAAGGAGAAGGTAGAGGATGATGGGCTTCCACTGGGTGCCTGGTGTCTACTTATCACTCATTCTTCTGCTTCATTGGTCTGTGGTCTCCTTGTCAATGTCAATACAATTCTTCTTTTCATCTCTCTTGGTTTCCTTTGTTTTCCACTTGCCCTCCTCTCTTGCCACAGATCCTAGAACCTCAACTATATTTGACTGTCTTACTTTGGGGTCTCCTTGGTGCCCCTCACATTGTGGTTATTCAGAATTAGGCCTTTCCCCCCTTTTTTTCTCTTTCTTTCGGGTTCAGGTTGGTGATAAAATGGTTTATCCAAAAAGTAGTAATCTGAGTTTTGGTTTTTTTAGTTATTGTTGGAGTATTTAGGGGAAATACTAATTTTATTGACTTTGGTCTTCTCTCTTCTTTTTTTGGTTAGTTGGGCCAATAGTGTGTCAATTTTGTTTATTTTTTTAAAAAACCAGCTCTTCATTTTGCTGATCTTTTGTATTTGGGGGGGGGGGTGTTTCAATTTCATTGAGTTCTCTAATTTTTTCTTTTCTCCTACTAGTTTTGGGTTTGGTTTGCTGATGTTTTTCTAGATCCTTGAGATGCATTGATAGCTCATTTATTTGGTGCCTTTCCAATTTTTTTCTTTCTTTTTTTTTTTTTTTTTTTTTGACAGGCAGGGTTAGACAGTGAGAGAGAGACAGACAGAGAGAAAGGACTTCCTTCTGTTGGTTCACACCCCAAATGGCTGCTACAGCCAGGAGCCAGGTGCTTCCTCCTGGTCTCCCATGCAGGTGCAGGGCCCAAGCACTTGGGCCATCCTCCACTGCCCTCCCGGGCCACAGCAGAGAGCTGGACTGGAAAAGCAGCAACTGGGACAGAACCAGTGCACCAACCAGGACTAGAACCCCATGTGCTGGTGCTGCAGGCAGAGGATTAGCCTAATGAGCCGTGGCGCTGACCTTTTCCAATTTCTTGATGTAGGCACCAACTGCTATAAACTTTCTTATTAACACTGCTTTTGCTGTATCCCATAAGTTTTGATATGTTGATATGTCATCTCCATTTGTTTCCAGAAATTTTTTCATTTCTCTTTTGATTTCTTCTATGACCCACTGTTCATTCAGGAGTAAGTTGTTCAGTCTCCATGTGTTTGAATATGTTGTAGAGATTCCTGAGTTGCTGATTTCCAGCTTCATTCCATTGTAGTCTGAGAAGATGCATGGTATGAATTTGACTATTTTGAATTTGCTGAGACTTGCTTTATGGCCTAGCATGTGGTCAATCCTAGAGAAAGTTCCATGCACTGCTGAGAAGAATGTGTATTCTGCAACTATAGGATGAAAAGTTCTGTAGATATCTTTTAGGTCCATTTGATCTATAGTGTCGATTAACTCTGCTGTTTCCTTGCTGATTTTCTGTCTGGTTACTGTCCATTGATGAAAGTGGGATATTGAAATCCCCCATTAATATTATATTTCAGTCTATGTCTCCCTTTAGGTCCCTTAACATTTCTTTTAAATAGCCAGGTGCCCTGTAACCAGGTGCATATATGTTTATAATACTTACATCTTTCTGTTGAATTGATCCTTTAATCATTACATACTGCCATTCTTTGTCTCTTTTAACAGTTTTTGTGTTAAAGTCTATTTGTCTGATATTAGGATGGCTACACCAGCTCTTTTTGGTTTCTGTTAGCATGGAATATCTTTTTCCATCCTTTCACTTGTAGTCCACATGCATCTTTGTTGGTGAAATGTGTTTCTTGTAGGTTTTATTTTTTAACCCATTTAGCCAGTCTGTGTCTTTTAACTGGAGAGTTGAGAACATTTATATTCAAGGTGACTGTTGATAAGTAATAAGTTTGCCCTGCCATTTTCCCATAATTTTCTTATTTTTTACTTTGGATTTCCTTTGTACTTGCACTGGGAGATTTCCTTCCTTTACCTTCTTCCATAGTGATTACCATGTTTCTGTGTTTCTGTGTACAGCACATCCTTAAGCTTCTTCTGTAAGGCTGGACAAGTGGTGACAAATTCTTTCAATTTCTCTTTGTCATGGAAGGTCTTTATTTCACCTTTGTTTATAAATGAGAGTTTTGCAGGGTATAGTATTCTGGGTTGACAGTTTTTTTCTCTTAATACTTGGAATATATCTCACCATTCTCTCCTAGACTACAGGGTTTCTGATGAGAAGTCTGCTGTGAGTCTAATTGGAGATCTTCTGAAAGTAGCCTGGCATTTCTCTCTTCCACATTTTAGAATCTTTTCTTTATGTTTTACTGTGGAGAGTCTGATTTCAATGTGTCATGGTGAAGATCTTTTCTGGTCATGTCTTCCTGTACCTGGATGTCCCTTTCTTTCTCCAAATTAAGGAAATTTTCTGTTATTATTTCACTAAAAAGGTCTTATAATCCTTTCTCTCCTTCCACATCTTCAGGAACTCCTAGAACCCATCTTTTCGGTCATTTGATAGTATCCTGTAGATAACCAACAGTGCTTTTCAGTTTTCTAATTTCTTCTTCTTGTGTTTGGTCTTACTGTATAATTTCCTGTGCTTTGTCTTCTAAGTCAGATATTCTTTCTTCTGCTTCACCAATTCTGTTGTTAAAGATTTCCACTGCATTTTTTATTTGTTCTGTTGAATTCTTCATTTCCAAGATTTCATTTTGATTTCTCCTTAAGATCTCAATTTCATGGGAGAAATTGTCCTTGATGTCATGTATGGATTTCATTAGTTTAAGCATTTGTGTCTGATTACTTCAGAGTAATCCTATGGTCAATTTTTTGAATTCCATTTCTGGCATTTCTTCATTCTCATCATCTTCACAATTTAATATTTAAGTGTTCTTTTGGGGGCATCATGTTGTCTTCCTTATTCTTGTTTCTTGAATTGGGGCATTAGTTATTAGGCATTTGTGGAGATACTCATTGGTTTGTTTTTTCACTTTGGTGGCTTTTATCTTTGGACTATGTCTGAGTGGATTAATGGAGTGTCTGCTTTCAGGGAATACCTAGAGGCATGTGGTGGGTGTGGCCAAGGAGCTCCATTTAGTGCTCAAGGGTGAAGGGTGTGTCTAAGGTGACACACCCAGGTTTGGCATGGAATGTCTTTTTTTTTTTTTTAAGTGAGAGGGGAGGTTTGTTCTTGTCTGTTGGCATAGACTCAGCTGAGCTCCTCTCCTCAAAGGAGACCAGTGCCTGGGCGTTTGCCCCAGTAGGCATATTATTCATCTGCTCTGCCACAAGGACCACACAAAGGATCTGTGCAGTCCTCAGTGTAAGCTCAGATTCCCCAGCAATGTCCCTCACCAGGTAACCAGAGAGCCCTGATCATGTGGCATCTCCCACAGTGACAGTCCAAAGTCCCAGCCACACTCTGAGTCCACACAGCCTCAGCATTTTCAATGTCCTGGCTCACAAGCCTCCCACAGTCATGAGCACCCAGCCTCATCTGTTCTCTCCACCAGACTCAAGGGTCTCCACTTTGCTGGTTGCTGGGTATAGCTGTTATGAATGTCCAAAATGGCACCTGCTTTCTATCAGCTTGTTACAGGATGCTGTTGAAGGGTGACTGGTGAAAGAGAAAGTGTCCCTCATCTTTGTTTTTTCTCCTCTAGTTTGGCAGGTACACTGTCCTCTACAGGGCTCTAAGCTGGATTCCCTCTAGGCTCTTCCTGCATCTTTTTTGCCAGTGACTTGGGCTGTTGCAGTCTGGTCTCACCACACTCTCCAAAGCTGGTGCAGAGGCTCTCAGCTGCTGGGGTTCTGAGTTGCGCATGTCCTCGCCTTCCACTTGGAGGTCCACAGTGTCCCTCCAATTGACACAGAGTTTCCTCTGCTATTTTTTTCCTTACTCCTCCCTGAGACTCCATTCTTTCCACTTTTTTAAAAACTATCTTCTCCTAGACTAGAGCAGCAAGCTCTCTCCCTACTCTGCCATCTTCCCCAAGCTCTGAAATTTTTATTTATTTTCATTTTTTTTAAAGGTAGAGAGGATAAAGAGAGAGAAAGAGCCATGGCCAGGCTAGGCATAAGCCAGGAACCCAGTAGATAATCTGGATCTCCCACATGGGTAGCAGGGATCCAATTACTTGAGCAATCACTGCTGCCTCCCAGGGTGCACATTAGCAAGCAGCTGGAATAGGGAGCCAAGCCAAGAATCTAACCCAGGCACTCTGATACGGGACACAAGCATCTCAGGCAGAGGCTTAACCACTGCACCAAACACTCACCCCTATTTTCTTTCTTAAGTAAAGGCATACAAGCAAAAGTGAGTCAATGTAAAGAATATACAAAAATAAAGAATAACACAGGTGTAGACAGATCTGGCAGAAATAGTAAATACTCAAATGACTAAAGATTGTGAAATATTGACCTATTTTATTTCATCAAATCCCCATCACAAGCCTCAGAGGTTTACAGATAAGAAACTTAACCTCATAGAAGTTAAGCTACTTAACCAAGGTCACACAGCTCCAAAAAACAAGAACCCAACCTCTGATCTTACAGAGCTTGCATTCATAGGGTGGGGACACATCTGTAATATAATACAGTGTACACAATGCGATCACCTGGAGTAGGAGCATAATACTGAAGAAACCCAGAGAGGTGGGGGCCAGTGGGGAAGAGAGGCTCAGAAGTGAACTGCAATGTAAATAACATTAAATAACATTAAAGGAACATTCCATATAGGAGGAAGAAAGAAGAAAGGGTAATATTTTTCCACTAGGTAATACATAAAACAAAGAAGTTTTGCAGCACAAACACTCACTTTGTAGAAACATGGGGAAATCAATCAAGAAGTTCATGCCCCCTCCACCCTGCTCTTTGTGACCTGGGAAATCCACACCTCAGCCCTTGGCTACCAACAGATGTCAGGTTCCTCACTGAACTCAGTACATTCACCAAGGTCACTGGGTTGGAACAGAATGTAACTTAAGCAAAAAGGACATTTATTCATTGGAAGAATATGAGAGAGCTTGTAAAACTGGGCTGGAAACTGGACATTCAGTCTTGGCAAGGACAAGAGACAGGATAGCTCCCAGGGGATGTAAAAGCACCAGCCATTTTCTATCTTTGGTCCTGCTCAGAAAATTCAAAGGCCAGGGAAGGTTCTGACTTGCCCAGCTTTGGCCACAGGCCCACCCACTAGTCAGAGTGGAGCAAGCGCCCTGATGGATTGTCTCATCAAGGCTATGTTCCCTGAAAGTCAAATAGGGGTGCTATTAGGAGAATGCACAAAAACAGGGGAGAGAGGGCAGATGTCCTAGTATCTATCTTGTAACCAGTCATGTAAGCCTTTGCCTCTCTTTCTCACGCATCCCTGACAGGCAGGGGAGAGACCAGCCAATCCAGCCCTCTGGTGGGTGAATGGCAGAGGGGATGAGGTGAAATGGAGCTTCAGAGAACTGGGCACCTTGTCTCGAAAGGCTGCCAACGTACTCACCAAGCCCTGCGGCCTGCAGAGAGGAGACCGAGTGGCCGTGATCCTGCCCCGAATCCCAGAGTGGTGGCTGGTAAATGTGGCTTGCATGCGGACAGGTTGGTGCCAATATCGAACATTTCTAAATCATGCCAAAACTGAGAGACTGAGTCTTTTTCTGAAATGTCAGCTATGAGTAAACCTGTACTTAGAGCACACACAGAGAGAGAGGACAGGGGATGCAGAGTTGAAATTAAGAGTAGTTACAATGTAATAATAACCACCTTAAGAAGTGGGTATTCGTTTTGCTTTGTTTTTTTTTTTTTTTTTTGCAGATGAAACCAAAGTTCAGAGAAGTTAAGAAGTTTGCCAAAGTCACACATCTGGAAAGCTATGCAATTAGGATTTAAGCACAAAGCTCTAAAAAAGCAAACGGGAGTACCAACTGCTTCTTTGTAGTTCTGGATCATGACATGTTCATCAAAATGACCCAGCATTTACTTCTCTGAAAGTGCTGGAGAATTTACTTCTCCAGACATGGAAATACGAAAAGAATAAACATCATCTGAGAATGCTAGCAGTGTTAGACTACAGCTGCAAACCTCGGTTGGAAAATCTCTGCCTCTTTCCAGAGAAAAAGATGAATGTATCTCATGACACATTTTCTCCCAAAGTAGTTATTTATAATGTACCTCCAATAAACATTCCAACAGGATTCTTTTCCCCTTTAGGACAGGGGTTGTCGCTCCCCGTCTTCGTGGAGGAACGACACAGGACCCTGCGCTGTTCTTTTGTCTGCTCGGCCCTCCCTGGGTTTGCTGCTGGTTCTTCCCGGGTTGGCTACCGTCCCTTCCACCTCCGTGGAAGGGCGGTTCCCCCTGCCACCTTCCCCACTTCCACGGGGGAGCGGCACACCGCCGGCCGGCTCTCTCGGGGGCTTCACAGGTGTTCCCTCAGATGTTCCCTGATGCATGTTGTCTCTCTCCTCCTTTATAGTCCTCTTCCACCAATCCCAACTCTGCTACCCACACGCCGAGTACGCTGCTCTCCTCCAATCAGGAGCAGGTCCTACAGTTTATTGGTTGAACTGGAGGCAGCTGGGTAGAAGCTGTTTCCTCCTCTCCCAGCGCCATATTGTGGGAGAGCAGATGCATAGAATAAGTCTTAATTCCAGTAACTTAGTCTAGTCCGAGTTGCTCCCCACAGGGGTCAGCACACCCTGGTCCCCAGGTTGGCCATCGGATGTTGTAACTGAAGTTCCAATGGAATACAGCCCTGCTCATTTACATATTGCGGCTCCCTTTGTTCTGCAGCAGCAGAACTGCTACTGAGGCCGAGATCCTGTGACCTGCAAAGCTTAAAATATTTCCTGTCTGGATCTTTACTTAGAAAGCTTGGCCAATCCCTCTGCTCTAAAACATGACATAAATGTTTATACATCAATTAAAAATAAATAAAACACCAAGAGATAGATGACTATAAAGATGCTTTTTGCAATATCATTAATATAGTAAAAAATTAGAAACAAATAGAATGACTAAATATATTATAACTTAGCTGAGAACTAAGTTCATTTGAGTCATGCTTATTGAAATTATGGTACCTCAATTGGATGAGATAGCACTGAAAAGATAATTTATAATAAGGATAATATAATATTAACATAATAGAGATTTTAAAATGATGTTGAAAGTGCTCTTACTGCCAATATTAAATAAAACCAGCAAAATATAAAATTTTTGTGTTAACTCTAAAGGGGAAATTGCAAATGTGAAATCAATTGTGGGTTGGGAGATTAAGGGTGGTTTTATTTGTTATAAAATGTATTTAATACTACTTAACATAACAAATACAACTTATGATATGCCAAAAAATAACCCCAAACACAAAAAATGCTTTAAAACATTTGATTAATTAAATGTAAAGCAAGAAGTTAAAGATTGTTTTCTAGCCCATAATCATTAGGTCTTCCGTGTGAATGTGGGGATTGCTGTTACTATACCACATCATAAAACTTTTTGCTTTTGCTGTAAAGTGTATCACTAAAGTCCAAGATATTTGCTCTCTGATGAATACTTGCTATCTGAAATCCACTAGAAGAAAACTTTCACTAGGTTCTCAAGTCAAAGGTCTAGCCATTGAGCATCTTCACATCACAAATCCATCAAGAGTACAAACTATTTGTGAGTCATTTAGTGGTTTATAGAATAAATTATATTTTATATTGAGTAACATTCTGAGATGCTCTGAGGTATTTTCTTAACCATTCTTCATTCTCGCATATTTCTTTCTTTCTTCAGGATGGGATGACATCTGAGAGCATTCAAAATATACTCAATAAAATAAACTTTCCTAGGAATTCAATTCTCCATCTCCCTATTTCACTAACTTCAGGGAAATCACCAAGAAATAAGTACTCTAGTATTTGACACAGGTCTTAGCAGTCTGGACAATGTATTGTGAATATTGGCTCTGTCATTTGCTGATAATACAACCACTGGGCAAGTTGTCATCTATGCACTAGGATTAATTTTAAGTGAGATAACAGGCTTCTAGTAAGTGCTCAATAAATGGTTGTGGCTGTCTGTTCTGCTTTATATAAATTCCATTTCTTCCCCACTGATTCACTTTAGAAAACGTAAATCACCAGCTTTGTGTCTTTCATCTAATTCTGCCATTCTGAAGGTACTTAAGAAAATGTACATTTTCCATGAACCTTTTGAAGAGCCCTCATATATTATTCTCATGAGGAAAAGTCCATTTCAAGCTAATGTTTAGGATGAGTGAGAAGTTGGGATAAAATAAACATGGCCAACTTAGTCTGTGCAAGCATGGACGATGCCAGATCTCTGGGATCCACAATCTGACAGCTGGCTTGGCTGCTCAACAGCCAAATCTCAGATTCCATCAAATGGCAACAACTGCATGGACCTTCAAGGGTTGCTTAGGAAAGAGTCTACGCGTTTTTGCTTATATAATCAATAAAAACACTTAGGACATAGATCGACTTATCTGAGTTATTTATACTGTTCTAGTGCACAAATATACTATGCATCTTATGTAATATATATAAAAATGAGATAAAAACATAAAAAGAATTCTAGTAACTCTTTAATTTTACTTAACTCCAGTATTTTTTTTTACTCATTTCCAATGGGTTGCCTTGCAAAATTCACTTTGGAGATCATTGGTTTAGAGTATAGAACAAGAGAGTGTTTATAAAGTGTTATGAGCTGTAAAGTGCTATTGAAGTGTTTCAAAATAATGATCAAATAGTACGTTACAATGTTACATAATGGCCCACCATTATAACACCTACTAAATGCCGAATACTTATTACTATTATCTCCACTTTACAAATAAGGACAAGAAGTCCCAGAGTGATCAAGGTCACAGGCTAGTAAGTTGTAAGGCCAGGAGATTAGACCAAAGCCAGTGCTCTAAGGATCACCCAGTGATCAGGGTCCTGTGGGACACCATTGGGGACCAAAGAGGGAATAATTGATGGCTGGACTCTGAAGCTTCTCCCCACCCAGACACAGAGTCTTAACTATTGGGCAACAGTTCTATTCAGCTCAGGGTTCTCTGTCCTTCCCAGGGCTTGTCTTTATGCCGGGAACAACCCAGCTGACAGCAAAAGATATCCTCTACCGGCTACGCGTGTCCAAGGCCAAGTGCATTGTGGCCAGTGAGGAAGTGGCCCCAGCGGTGGAGTCCATCGTGTCAGAGTGTCCTCATCTGAAGACCAAACTCCTGGTATCTCCAGAGAGCCGGAATGGGTGGCTCAGCTTCCAGGAGCTGTTTCAGTGAGTATTTTTCCCAGCTTACCTGCAGCACGAGCAACAAATCACAGCTACATCACAGCTACATCCTGGAGTCTCCTTGTCTCCAAGGACTCAGAAATACTGTGAGTTGACCCAGGCTCTTTCCCAGAAAATAATCCAATAAAAGAATTTAAGGGCAGAAGGCTTTAAATGGAGGATTGGCCTCCATTTTCCTGCTTCCTACCATGGCCATGATGAATATTTTACAAGGCTTGACCCTGGCCTAACTTCTCCTGACCAATCTGTCACCACACTCTCTCTTATTATTCAAGCATGTAGAGACATCAGGGTCTCTGCACTTGTTGTTTCTTCTTCCTGGAATGCTCTTTCCCAGTCCTCTTCACAGCTGGCTCCTTGCTGTCTGATTAGAGCTCAGCGTGTTCTCCTGAGTGAGGCTCTCCCTGACTACCCTATCTACAGCAGACCTTCAAGCCACTCTATCACTGGATAGCCCTGGATAGCACTGATCACTATCAGAGTCATCATGTCCCTTCACTTGTTCCTTTATTTAGAGTCTGGTTTTCTCCTCCAGGGTACTGGTTGCCACACGAGTGTTTGTAGGCCAAATCCGGCCCACCACCAGTTTTTGTAAATAGTTTCATATGAACTCAGTCAGGCCCATTTGTTTACACATTGGCTATGGTGGCTTTCATGTTACTGCATCAGAGCTGAGTCATTGTACAAAGCCTGCCTTGTGCATGGGGCACATGCACAAAAAGCCTGAGATATTTGCTATCTGCCTCATTATAGAAAAAGCTTACCAGGGCCGACACCGTGGCTCACTTGGTTAATCCTTTACCTGTGGCGCCAGCATCCCATATGGGTGCCAGGTTCTAGTCCCGGTTGCTCCTCTTCCAGTCCAGCTCTCTGCTGTGGCCGGGAGGGCAGTGGAGGATGGCCCAAGTGCTTGGGCCCCTGCATCCGCAAGGGAGACCAGGAAGAAGCACCTGGCTCCTGGCTTCGGATGGGCGCAGCGCCAGCCGTTTTGGCCACTTGGGGAGTGAACCAACGGAAGGAAGACCTTTCTCTTTGTCTCTCTCTCTCACTGTCTGTAACTCTACCTGTCAAATAAAAAAAGAAAGAAAGAAAGAAAGAAAGAAAGAAAGAAAGAAAGAAAGAAAGAAAGAAAGAAAGAAGGAAGAAAAAAGAAAGAAAAAGTTTACCAAGGCCTGTCCTAAATTATAAGCTCCACGAAAGTAGAGACTTTGTCTGTTTGATCACTTTAGCCCCAGTCCCTAACTCAGAGCTGGTGCTTTATAAATATTTACCGAATAAATGAATGAACAAAACAGATAATTTAATTCAGTTTTCATAGGTATTTATACTATATGGATCTCGCGTTGTTTTGAGGGTAAAATAAGCCAATATGAGAAAATATGAGAAAATGCTTCCTGAGCTGTTAAGTGAATAAAATGTTAATTAATGGCATTATTTTTCAAAGAGGTGTTAAATAACTTCTATCTTTAAAAAAAAAATCCTTCCAGAGAAGTTTATAGAAAGGGAAGGTATATAAATCCTTTGAATAATAGGGCAGTTTCCATTGTAAGGATGAAATTTTATCCCACTAATTAACGTAAACAAAATTCGATTGGTCAATTTTCGAATTCTCTCCCAAGGGCCACATTAGTGAATCCTGTTTGTGTCTTTTATAAGCTGTGTAACCTTGGGAAAATCAAGTAAATTTTTGAAACTCTGTATTCTACCCATAAAATGGGGATAAAAATAGTATCTACTTCATGGGGTTGTAGAATCAAGTGCAATAAAGTATATAGAATGCTTAGCATAATGTCTGGCACACAGTAATTACTCCATAAATATTACAGTAATTATCACTGCTATTACCAAATTCAACTTAACAAAGTCATTCAACAGTGTCGTGATTCCTAAGGCAGTGGTATTCTGATTAATCAAATATGCATCTCCACCAGTAAAATATTTTTAACACACTCCCTAACACATCTATGTATGTATGTATGTATGTATGTGTTTATAAATGGTGTACATGTACTTCTGTGAATTATACAAATACCAGAAATGGAAGCTTTAGAAAATGAGTAAAAAGATACAGATAAAGGAAGTTCCTTTATTTTCTTCCTTGTAAGTGTTGCCCTGCACACTCCCTGAGCAACAAGCACCCCCACTTCAGAGACCCCTTTTTTTAAAAAAAAGATTTTTATTTGAAAGGCAGAGTTTCAGAGAGGCAGAGAGAGAGAGAAAGAGAGAGAGAGAAGTCCTCCACCCACTGGTTCACTCCCCAAATGGCTGCAATGGCCAGAACTGGGCTGATCTGAAACCAGGAGCCAGTAGCTGCCTCCGGGTCTCCCACGCAGGTACAGGGGCTCAAGTACTTGGGGCATCCTCCACTGCCCCCTTAGGCGACAGCAAATAGCAGGATCAGAAGTGGAGCAGCCTGGATTCAAACTGGCACCCACTTAGGATACCGGCACTGCAGGTGGCGGCTTCACCTGCTATGCCACAGCCTGGCCTCACTTCAGAGACTCTTGTCCTGAACAACTCTGCAACATTCTACTGAGTCTCCAAGAGGCCTTAAAATTAACAGATTGAAAAGGACTGCAAACTCTCATGGATTTCACATTGAAACGTGTACATTTTGCGGGGAGGTTTTCAAGTTGGAGGGAACCTCCACTTCAAACAAACAATTCTGGAGTGGTATAATTTCAAAAAGGCCATGGATTTCTTGTTTCTCTAAAAGCTAAGGAAGGGATAATTGTGTTTCAGGAAACCACAGAAAGCAATAATGAGGCTTAATGTTACATAGTTAGAGTCAATTTTCCATTCAAGGAGTTAATTACATGGCCTCGCACCCTTCTGCTCCCAAGGATACGAGACCATGAACAACTTCCTAGACTATTCACGATGGGATAGAGAAAGTGCAAAATTATAGGCGGGATTAATCTTTTCTTTTTCTGTCCTAGTACTATGAGCTAATAATCTTGTGTTCTGATCTTGAGGGAATCAATATAGTGTTCTAGGCACAGGAACAGCATGAGCAAAAACAAAAGAGAACAAAACCAACCCACCCAAAAACAAAACACACTGAAGTGTGCAAGGAATGGACTAAAGCCCTTCTGGGTAGCTGTATAACTAAATATGAGTCTGAGTGAAGGTTGGAAGAAGAAGAGGCCAGACTGTGAAATATTTCAAATGCCATGCTAAATATTAAAAATATGTGAACCATTGATGGCTTTTAATAAGCAAATGATCAAGGTTGATTTTGGATTTTAAACAGATTCCTCTGGCAACTGTATAAAGGATGAATTTGAGGAGGATCAGGTTGGACCTAGACACCATCGTACAGCCTAATCTAGGGTAGAGACTATGCAGATCTAAATCTGAGCTCTGGTGACTACGATGGAGGAGAGGGGGCAAACTAAAGAACCAGCAGGACTTGGAGAGACTGATGGGACACGGAAGTTGAAGGAAGAATTCATTAAGGCTGACCTGCTTTTTCATATGGGTAGTTGGGTAGATGGGGACTTAACTAATAAGCTGGAGGAAGAGCTAGCACAGGAGGTTAAGACAATGAGTTCAGAGTTGGACATACTGAGTTCGAAAGGTGTGTGAAAATTCAAATTCTATCAGGGGGTATATGAGCCTTAGACTTATGGAGGTAAAGATACAAATCTGGAAGTCATCGATATGTAGTCAACTCCAAAAATCTGAAAAGAGAACTCAGAACTCAGATGTCAGGGCAAATGACGTCAGTCAACAGAATCACTGCTTGAACATCTCCCTGTCACTCACAGATTGTATCTTTTTATTTTTTAGTTAAAAACAAAAACAAAGAAACCCCAATATCAAGCATTTTCCATTTGTGTTGAGTTTACTGCCTTCCCACCATCACCAGTGTGTTAGACACTGTGAGGAAACCCTCCTGTTTCTAGCCAAACGTTGTGACTTCATCCTACATTTATACTGAAAATCAGTGCAACTGAGTATTATTTTTCTATTTTGGGGGAAGAAATTAGGCTACCAAGAAAGCCATGTTAATATTTCATGAAATTATTTTTGACAATATAGTATATGTATATAGTAATCCTCTTCGGCTTATAGTTTCAATGGCAATCTTACGAATTTATTATCAAGATTAATGAAAATGGCATCCTTGTCCCTATTTCCTTCAACCAGGGAATTTAAGAATATGATACAAGAGTCTCAAAAATTCTTAGATATTAAATCAGTTATGTATCACTGAGTAACAAGCCATCCCCAAACTTAGTGATGCAAGGCAGCAATCACTTTGTTTGCTCATGGTCCTTCAGGTCAGAAAAGCACACAGGGCTCAGCAGGGCAGCTGGTATTTACTAGGGCTGGAGTACCCATGGAGAGTTCATCTGCTGCCTGTCAGTTCAGGCTCCTCCGTTGTGCCACACATGGCCTCCTCTTCCAGCAGGGCAGTTTGAACTATGGTTGTTGTGTTGTCCCACATCTATCCCAGGGAAAGGGAAGGTTATAAAGTCTCTTGAGGCCTGGGCTGAGAAATCCCAGAATTTTGGCCATATTGTAGTCATCAAAGCAAGTCACAAGGCCAGCCCAGATGCAAGGAGAGGATACCTGGTCCACCCTTCAAAATGAGGGGATGGCATATGTACTTATACAGAAGTAGATCAAAGGAACTGTTGGTACTATCTACACACAATCTTATAGAGATTGTTACCAGTTAGAATACTTTTGGTTTTAGTAACCCAAGAAGTGACTGAAACAATGCAAAGAATTCTATTATCTCACAAATAAGAAGCACAGAGGCAAGATGAACTGAGGGAGGGTTGACTGATTCAGTGTTTGATGAAGTTAACATGGACCCAAGTCATTCATCTTTCCATCATGCCATTCTCAGTATGATGGGTAGGGTGGTTTCAGACATGTTCCAAACATGCTGAAGATACGGAACAAAAGCTATGTAAAAGTTTGATTCAAAAGCCAAAGGATCTTCCTTTAAGTATAAAAGATTCTGAAATATTAATT